ACAGGAAGACGACCAAGGAAATGTAGGGGATGACATGACCACCTTGACCTTCGCTGGACGAGATACGACCACCAGGACGACACCGACGACCACACCATCATCCTTGGCCCAGAAAGTCATCATTAACAACCATCTTCACGTTTATCACAACCCTGAGACTGACCCGCCAAGAAGTTCTGCATTTTTGAATAACATTCCCTTTAGAAGGCTCACCTAAATTATTTCTTGAGAATTAAGGAGATTCACTTGAGATCCATACTTTAAACCGAAGATTCACCTAACTTACGTCCATGAAATGAAGGGATTTGGTAAGAAAAGTTCACCTAAAATCGAAAATAACACTTGCCTAGTTATGGCTCACATGAAATCCATCACCGTGTCTTTTTTCAGATTCGCCTAATAGTTAAAACAGGGCATGACAAAAACCCTCTCTTTCCTCTCCTGACAAACGACTCAAATGAAACTTTCATGTGATTCACCTACTCCCTCCCATGGGAATCTCTTGACTTAGCACAAGACTCATCTAAATCCCAAACGACTCACCTACACCACCATAATCAAAAGACAATCGAATCATTCCACCTCCTAAGACTCACCATCCCCGACACACACAAAAAATCACCTAATGCACATCCCTATCTCTCTCCTGAGGCTAATTCCCTACTCCTCTTCCCTCAAACTCAACATGAACGGGATTCTAAAGCCTCATTATTCAAAACAAAACTATAACTATGCCAATTCTTCCCTTAGAATTTACCTATCTAGTATTACTCCCACTCAACACACCTACTTCTCATCCTTCTCTCACCCCAAGACACTTTACTTAGATCCCTCCCCGCGTTGACTCACCACTTAACCACTGACTTTTCCCACACTCAAAATAAACTAGATTAATGCACAGACATCACTCAACTTTCCCACTGATATACCTCGGTGAAGGTGACAACACGTGTAGTGGTGGGTATATTAACCGCTGGACTGATGACATGACACGACGATTTTTATCATTTTGTATTATTAGGCTGTACGTAACACTAAGGACACGTGTCTCGTGAAACAGATTGCATGCTGTTGCAAGCACTCTTCCCCCCCCCCTCGTCATTTTCCCCAAGATTTGTACCTTTTGCAAGAGAAAGATTAGCGGGCATTATAATCTACTCGAGGAAGACAAGATTGCTACAATTGTATTATTAAGTTTTTGTGTGTGGGGTGTACAGATGTTAGCTTTAGAGACGAAATGTTTCATTTCTTTTAGCTTCGTGTGAGTATGTAATTAATTTCTATTCCTATATTTATTCATTTCACTCTCAGGTTACATGTTAGTCTTTTGTGATAGTAATTCTGATATCTAGTAAATATATATTTTTTTCAAAGTTGCTAGCTTCCTTTTTTATATTTATTTGATAATTAATTCCTTTTCAGGGATGAAATCTGCAAGGTTTTGATACTGTAATCTAATTAAAGTTCAAAATCTATTATCTCTGCGCCTTCCTTTTAATTTGTATTACACTCAGTGATTTATTTACTCTATAACAGGGCATTATTGTTAAATACGTTATTGTTGCATTATGATTTGTTTAAATAAATTTATAAAAAAGTTAAATACTATTTACATTTACCCTAAAGTCACACTGTATTGTATTTTTGACTAGAATTTGTTTATAAAAAACTCATTGTCTACAGTGACAACTTGAAAAATTACGTAAAATCTGTTTTATACTACATATACTACAAACAAATAGTAGGCAACACAAATCCAGGAAGATATCGAAGCCTAGTTTTTTCATTACCTAGTTTGTGCATAAAAGTTTTTCTTCCTACGTATATAGATAGGTAGGGTATGCATAAATCTACCTATATATATCACTATATTAATTTGTATATACATGCACATCTATATATATATATATATATATATATATATATATATATATATATATATATATATAGTATATATACGTGTGTGTGGTGTGTGTGTGTAAAATATAAACTCATGTTTATATTTATCTATATATTTACACATTTTTTAGAGCGTGTGCTGGTAGTACAGTTATATTTATCTAATATTCTCATAAAAAAAAAAAATAATTTATTTTCTCCGCGTCAGCTGTTGCTAAAATGCGACCCAGTTTTATAACTTATTTTATCATTATCATTATCATTTCGGAAATTATGGAGACAATTCTCTATGAATCATTTTAGATCATTTTTATTACCATTATAGAACAAAAACCAACGACAAGAAAACGTGAAATTGATGACTTGTTGTTTTTGATACATTAGATATACCTCAATTAGCTATTTTTGTATGTGATTTTGATATCATTAATCATCATGAACGACCTACAACAATTTGCTTTTGTCATTTGTCATCTTTTGGCTGTGAGTTGTGGCTATTTTGTGGTTGTAATATAATTCTTAATCTTATAAGACCATAAGTATGCTCTTCCTGTCAGTATGTGACGTATATGGAATTAAGAATGTTATAGGTGTGTAAGCAAAACTATTGAATTGGTCTTTTCTTATACAAATTGAATAATCTAACTATTCTCTAGCTCTATTCTCATAGATATTGAGTAATTTAATTTAAGCATAGCCCTCTAATCTAAGCAGTTATTCATATATATTTTCACGTAAGAAAAATTATTGAAGTATAATTCTCCTATCTTAATCAAATGCATCATTCCAAACTACATTCAAAATTCATAATGATTCATATATACTATACTACAATAACATGTTCAAAACAATTTTTTTTCCCCAAAAATAAAACAGTTTATACATACTTTCCTATCCACTTAAGCATAACAACCCCTAACACATTAATTAACCTTAAGTACAACCCTTCTACAAAAAAAGAGAGAAAGAAAGAAAAAAAAAAAAGATATATATATATATATTTTCCACACAATTACTGCTTACTGAACTCATCAAAGAAAACTCTCCTCGCCAATCCAATTTAAGTATAGCCTTACGAGCCCCAACCCTCCTTAACTACAGCGTATTGTATGCAGTGGTTGGCTGGTCACGCCACGTGCGCCCGGCCATGCTATTACACTTAGGAGAACCGTTATCAGGAACCACTGGATATCCTGACCTTATTTCACACCTGGGTTTCTTTTCGCGGTGTTGGGATGTATTACACACACACATATATGTACACACACACACACACACACACACACACACACACACACACACACACACCACACACATATATATATATATATATATATATATATATATATATATATATATATATATATATATATATATATATGCGTGTGTGTGTGTGTATGTATATATATATATAATTATTATATATATATATATATATGTATATGTATATATATGTAATATATATTACATATGTATATGCATGCATATATACATACATGTATATACATATATACATATGTATATATGCATATGTACACACACACACATACACACACATACACACATGTATATAAATACACATCTATATACATATCTACATATATATATATATATATATATATATATATATATATTATATATACATACATACGTATATACATATATCTATATCCATCTATCTAAATATATCTGTATCTAAATATATAAATGCACACATAAATCTCTATCTATCTATCTATCTATCTATACGATTTTAGAGAATCCAGAATTACTGTAAAATTGATTTCTAATAAAGGCATAAAAGAAGAAGGCAATTTTGCGCAATTCTACCTCATAAAAAACCGTTAGTACGCACCCTATGTTCACAACCGTAAAACATCACATTCCTGACAAAAGACAGAACTAATAATAGATATAAGCGCGTCATTTTGGTTCCTGCATCATGAGAATACCTGCGTGAGTACTTCAGATTCTCATACACTTGCATATGCTCTTACTTACACGCTATTCGACGTCCACTCACTCGCATCTACACGCACATACGCACACACTCCCGCGCGCTAGTGGTTGTCGAGCGCAGACACACACACACGCACACACAGTCCCGGCTCACCAATATCTCCGGTTCCTTGTCTGTGTCAACACGCATCTCCGATCGCGCTTGTTTATTTTTGAATTTTCGAAGCGATTCGATTCGTTAAATTCCGTTAAATTCCGTTTAACGTATATCTCACGAGGCTCATCCTGGTACTTTAGAAGGTGTTTTTACAGTAGCAGCAACAGTGGTGTTCTGTTTTTCTTTTTAGCGTGGTTGTGAAAAAAGGAGTTTGTTGTTGATTCATCAATATTAACAACTGTTCTTCGTTTACATCTGCGGAAAAGGTAAGCTTTGTTCGTGTTCTTGTGTGTGTTTTAGTTTTTTTGTTTACATTAGTTTATACGTGACTTGCAGGTTAACACATGGTAGGCCTATATGTTCATGTATTCAGAAACACACATCTAATGTGTAAATTTGTGTAAACAGGTAGTTTGATTGGTGAATAAGTAGACAACAAGGTATACATATAGACAGAAACAAACAGACACACGGATAGATATCCTGATAGATTTATAGACAGACAGACAGACGCTTAGATTGGTAGATGTACAGATCGACAGGCAGAAAGACAGATAGGTAGACAGACAGAAAGACAAATATAGATACATGCAGAGACAGACATACACTCGCAGATCCAGACAATAAAAAAAAAAAAATAGACGATTCACATATTCTCGTACACGCAGACAGACAGACATACACAATATATATATAACCCCCCCCCGCGCGCCACTTTATCCAAACCCGACGAAAAAGTATCTCAGGATCATATATATTACAACACATATATCTCCTTGTAAACAGAACAAAACAAATGACGATCATACACACCAAATAGTTTCCGCTCTGAAGTACTGGTGGAAGGTTAACGGTTTCCTCTACCTCCTTAGGCGACTGCAGGGGCGGCGGCGGCAGGAGGAGGGAGGGAGGAGCGTGTCTTGCGGTGAAGGAGGCGAAGGAGGCGAGGAAGAAGGAGGAGAGAAAGGAGATCGGGTGTTGGAGTTGGAGTAGGAGAAAGGAAGGAAGGAGGGAGGAAGGAACGCTCCAATGGAGATGGTGAGTTTTGTGTGTGTTTGAGTTTGTGTGTGTGTGTGTGTGTGTGTGTGTGTGTGTGTGTGTGTGTGTGTGTGTGTGTGTGTGTGTGTGTGTGTGTGTGTGTGTGTGTGTGTGTGTGTAGTGTGTGTTGTGGCGCGCGCCGTGTGTGTACGTGTATGTATGTATTTTAGATATTGTCTATGCATGTGTATCTTTTTTTTATCGGGTGTTGGTATGGGTATGTACATATCTTTTATGACGTGGCATTTTTTCCGTGTATGTAGATACGTGTACGTAGATAGATGGATAAATAGACAGTGAACCTCTCATGACTAAGAGATAAGCATTGAGGAAAATATCGTTATTTTCTATGTATTTTGGTATTGTTGTGTATAGATAGATAGATATCAAATGCGATAGATACATGATTAGATATAGGAGAAAGAAAAAATAAAGCATTTAAGATGGCAGAAGTTGAAGAAAATAAATCTTGCTAGCATTAAGAATAGAAAGAAATAGAATAGAGAGGAAGAAGACGGAAAAAAAGAGAAGAAAAAGAAGAGAGAGGGCAGAGAAGAAGAAGGAATAAATCAAAACAATAATAAAGTGAAGGACACAAGAGGCAAAGGACAAACAATTTAACTTCACTCTAACGGCATCGAGAGACTGGGTAGGGCCGGGGGGGGGAGAGGAGGAGGAGGAGGGGGGGAGTTTAAAGAACCGGGAAGCCAGAGGTGGATCGGGAGGGGGAGGGGGGGGTATGAGGAGCCGTGAGCCAGAGGTGGATCACGGGGGGGGAGTACGAGGAGCCAGGATTTAAAGGAGGTGGGGGTGGGGGTAGGAAGGGAAGGAAGAAAAGGGAGGAGGAGGAATATGGAGGGAACTGATGGAGGATGGGGAAGACGCTATAAGCATTTACGAAGAATGAGGAAGAGGGATAAGGAAGGGCGGTATGAGGAGCTAGGAATGAGTGGGTATAAGGCTGGGGAAGTGGGTATCAGGGAAGTGGGTATAAAGGCTGGGAAGTGGGTATATGTGCTGGACTGGGGAAGTGCTGGGCTGGTGGGCTGGGGAAGTGGGTATAAGGCTGGGGATGGGTATATGGTGAAGTGGGCGGCTGGGTATAAGAAGTGCTGGGGAAGTGGGTATAAGGCTAGGGAAGTGGGTATAAGGCTGGGGAAGTGGGTATAAGGCTGCTATAAGGCTGGGGAAGTGGGTATAAGGCTGGGGAAGTGGGTATAAGGCTGGTGAAGTGGGTATAAGGCTGGGGAAGGGGGTATAAGGCTATGTAAGTGGACATGAAGATAGGGGAAGGAATGGAGTAAAGATGGGGAATTGGGGTATGAGGAGACGGGAGGGAATGAGTGTAGAGGTGGAGGGTTGGGAAGCGAATATAAGGATTAGGGAGGGAATGAGGAATAAAGACGGAAGTGGGGAAGGTAATATGAGGATCAGGTATGAGGAACTTGGAGAGAGTGAAGGCACGGAGATGGAGATGGCAGTATGAGGATCAGGGAGGGTATGTGAGTAAGGAGGGACGGGGGGGGGGGGTATGAGAGAGAGGAGAGGGGAGCCCTGAAGCCAACATACCCGTTGCTCGCGCGGTACATGTCCCCCCCCCCTCCCTTCCAGTTCTTTCCTCCCACTACCCCTCCCCTCTCCTGCTCTACCCTACCCCCCTATTTAACTCCTCCCAAATAGGGTATCTTCTGCCGGTGACGGGGTAACCTGTTACTATCATTACTTACGGTATTAGAGGAAGGATGAGTGTTGAAAAAATGAGTTACTTAAAAAAAACAAGTTACTCTCTCACGTTCGTATTTATATTAGGTTAGTTTATTGAATTATTCTGTTCCTATTTGTTAAATTCCAAATTATTATTATCTTCTATTCGTGTGTATTTATTGTTATTTGCTTTTTCATACCTATTTATTGTTATTATGTCTTTATTGATATTTAAACATAATTATCATGTAGATACTACGCTTTTTTTTTATAATTGTTAAATGTACTTATTATTGCCATCATTATCATTATCAAGCATCATAATTTACCAATTCTATATTGATTTGCTATATCTTCATCATTTAATGTACACTATATGAATCGAAACAGATGCTAGTAATTGATAAGGAAAATTATATAGTTAATGACATTAACAGTGATATCAATAATCAGGATAACTATAAAAAATAATAATGATACGATTATGAAAATGGAAATAGCATTAAACGAGCATCAAGAACATTACTATTATTTATTTTGTTTACCAGACCAGAGACATCAGTCAAAGCCATTAAAAACTAACTAAATTTGAAGGAGGAAGTCTGAGTGAGTTATACATAAATTTTCTTAATAACTATAAGATTAAGATTCTGCAAACATCACCGTGTTTTAATCTTATTCATGGTTAAAAATAAGATTAATGTTCAGCTGTCAGGTATTAAAGAAAGATTCGTTGTTTGCAAATATTAGGATTAGAGACGGAGAATCTGCAACTATCAATGATCCGGTCGTTATAGCAACTTAAATAGGATTTTGTTAATTAATTATAGCAACTGTTAAAAGCAAGATTGAAGGTTGTTAAATCCTGCTTGGTTTTCAGCATTTGACCTGCAGTAAGAATAAAGATCATGCTATTAATATGCCATAATACCTGTACTTATTAGTTTTTTTTATTTTTATTTTTATTTTTTTTTTTTTTATTCCTCGACTGTCATTAGGTTACAAAAAAACAATCAAGGAATATGGAGCTCATTAAAACCGAGTTGAGTAAGAGATAACGGTAACATCCATCTTCCATCAAGATTTAACAACCTCTTTTAATCATATTTCCCCATTTTTTCTTGTGTTTTCTTACTAACGAAAATTAACACAAAGGAGCTAAATCTTGTTTTATGGCTCCCACGTTATATTCTGCTTCGGGGAAAAGATACAGATATGCAAACACTTCTCTGCTACTTGACCTGTATCTATTGCCTTACCCGAAGAGAGAAATTCAGGCTGCATTTTGATTTGAATTTAATTTTATTACTCCCATACTCTTTACTATTGATTATTATGTTATTGTTATCTCTGATGTTATTGTTATTGTTATTTCGACTTCTCATTGTTATTATCTGTATATCATTATCAGTGGTATAACTAACATTTAATGTGTCACCATCAATGGAGTCATCATTAATACAGTTGGTAATACATATGGTTATGGGAATGGTGATAATAATGATGATGAAACTGCTACTACTATTATTACTGATAATGATAATAATAATGATGAATGTGGCGATGACAGTCATAGTAATATGAGAATGATAGTGAAAATAATAATGATGAGAATGATTATAAAGATAATTATAACAATAATATTAATAATGATAATAACAATGAGATGATTAGTACAAATACAAATTCTGATATCAATAGTGTTACTACTAATGAAGATGATAATAATAATAGCAATCGCAATAACAATTACTTTGATAATAATGATAATGAAAACAACACTAACCTTCCCAACGAACATTCACACCGACCTCTCCAAATTCCAGTCCGGAACGATGCTCTTCGTGACCGCCCTGCTCTCGCTGTCGACCCTGTGCGCGGCGACGGAAGACAAACCGGAAGCTGCAATGCTCCGACAGTTCGGGCCTTACGGACGCAGCCCCGACTTCCAACGGAACTCCCGCAACGACCGGAGGCGACCCAACGACGACTACAAACTGGACGACCTCTACGCCAACCACAACTTCGAGAAGGGGGACTTCGACAGATTCGGCGACTTGGGTCATGGCGGCCAGGACTTCGGCGATAATTACTTCGGAAATGATGAAGGATTCCCGAGTGGCGGGTCCTACAGGCAGCAGGATAACGGGGTGAGGTCGGGCGGGTCCTTCGAGAGGATTTCGAGGCCTGGGCTGAACCGCCGGGCAGGATATACGGACGCTCTTGACTACGGCCGGCGGGGGATCGAGAGGAGTGGAGGCAGTAGGTGGGTATTCATTTATTAATATATCTATTCCTTTATTTATTAAAAAACAAACAAACAAAAAAACGCACAGTATATTTCCTTAGACTAGACTTTGTATAATTATCATTCTCTCTTAACCCCAGATTGGCTGGAATATTTGTTCGCTGTAGTTTTGTTTTGTAAAGAGTCTCTTCACATAGATGGCGCCACAAAGGCTTTTGCTACCTCACCTGATTTCACTTTTACTTGAGCTTTTGGTCTTTTCTTTCTAGTGCTATCAATATCGGTGTTGTTCTTATCATTATATACATTATAATTATTATAGGGATATACATTAGCAATATAGGATAAAAATAAATAAATAAATAAAAAAAAGGGTAAACTGGTGAGTTAAGTCGTACTAGTAATTGACTAATTGGTAACTAAATACTTGTGGAGCCATCTATGTGTAAAGACAATAAATAAACTCATAGTGGGCATGGGGTGGCAATAAGTTAAATTCTTTTCTTTTTGATGCATTACTCTTTTCTCAATATTTTTGTCTTATAGTTTCATTCTCTAATCTGATCATCTAATTCATTTGATAATGCTTTACTGTATTTCTTCCTTAGTTATGCTTATCCTTTCTTATTTCTATTTCATCTGTGCAATTTATTTACCACTAATATATCGCCCAAATCATCATGTTAGGGTCGGAGTACGAAAAATTACTTTATTTTTATTATTTACATACGACACGTGTCTTACCAACGGCTGCTTTATAGATTGTATAGCGATTTCCTGCACAAACACAAATTACTTAATCTTCTTCAACCGTCACTGTCCATCTCAACCAAACGATTCTCCACTATAACCCCCCCCCTCTCTCCCCAATATCCTATATGATAACTTTTTCTTTATCTTCATCAACCGTCACTTTAATTCTTGTCCGAATTTTATCCATCCTTTTTTCTCTTTCCTCCCTGTCTCTGTCTCCTGTCTGTCTGTCTGTCTGTCTGTCTGTCTGTCTGTCTCTCTCTCTCTCTCTCTCTCTCTCTCTCTCTCTCTCTCTATATATATATATATATATATATATATTATATATATATATATATATATCTTGCTCTCTCTCTCCCTCCAATCGCCATTCTCATTGTACATCATTGTACACCCCAAGGAACCCGACCTTTAACCACTCATTTTCTCTCCCCCTCTCTCCCCAATCTACAGCGGCAACAACGGGAGTATCGACGTCTATAGCATCCTAGCCCTGGGACTCTTCGCCGCCTTCCTGGGCTACATCGTCTACTACTACATCAGCGTCAACGGAGGCGGCAGGTCCTTCGAGGGGCTTGGAGGAGAAGGCATGACGAGAATCCTTGAGGACGTGACGAAGGGGATCGAGAGATGGGCCCTTTTAGAGCTGTTGCCTGATGCCTTGGAGGGTTTTGATATTTCCAGGTTGTTGAGTCGATAAAGTGGGTTTCATGTTGTATGTTGTGTGTTATATTTTGTCTTGGTGAGATTTTATATTAATGTTATTCTTGTGTTAGTGAGATTTATTATTCTTGTGTTAGTGAGATTTTATATTAATGTTATTCTTGTGTTTATTTTATTTTATTATTATTATTATTTTTTTGTTAGTCTCTTTTTGAGCTGGTGCCCGATAATCTGGTTGGCCTTTGATATTTCCAGGTTGTATTTTGATTTGATATTTTTGTGTTGTTCTTTGTTGACTTATTGGTTATATTTTCTTGCCTTTTCTGAGTCGCTGCCCGAAAACCTGGATTCGATATTTCCAGGTTATTTAATCGACGAATGTTATTTGTTATTTGCTTAAAGTTGGGTAGATAGCTTGTTATATGTTATTTTTTGTTATTATTGAATTATTTGTTATTTAACTATTAGTTTATTTGTCTCTGCTGTTAAAGTCACGTGTTTTTGTATATCATTAAAACGATGAAATCCTGTTCTATATATTTCATAGTGAGATATATGGCATTATACTGAACTAATCAAAATCACGTTTTAATGCTAATAACTTTGAATATTTTGTATTATGAAGCAGTGTCATAGTAGGAGCAATAATACAATGACGATGACGTTTCGGCCTCAAACTGAACTCCTATTCTAGTGTGAGTTTTTTTCATTTTGATTTTACATACATACTGTCTCTCTGCATTGTATAACATACTTTAATACCATGTATCATATCAGCGCCAGTTTTAATTGTTTAAGACATGAAACATTCCTCATATGTGATTTTCAGTGGCATTCATATATGTTAAGAAAAATACATTAAATATTTCTTTCACACTGCGCAATACTCATACTCAAAAGCAAGTTCGACCAAAAAAAAGAACTTGAAAATTTCATAATTCATATACATTATATATACACATATCCGTTAACACATAGGCCTACATGTATGTCTTCTCCAGTTATCCATGAATCCAACATGGGCATTGCTAGATATAACTAATAAAATTTTGAAAAGCAATATCTTTTTTCATGTTCCTTGAAACTTACAGATATATCATTATAAAAAAAAATGTGCTAAGAATGTAGCAATGAAACTTCTAGGTTAATATTTCCTGAATTATTATTTTTTTAAATTGCATTATCAGTGTAATATATCTTAAATTTGATTTCACTTTATCAATAATAATTATTACATACGCACAATATCACGAGAAAAAATAACATATCCAATAACACAAAGGATTAAGGATTGTGAATGTAATAACAAGTGACAGAAAAATCAAACGATGATGATGATAACAACAACAATAAGAGAGATAGATCTGATGATGATAAAGAAGACAATCATATAAATAATTACGTATTATAATGATAAATGTAATGATGGATGTAATAATAAGTGACAGAAAAATCAAAAGATAATGATGATAACAACAATAAGAGAGATATAGATGATGATGATAAAGGAAGAGTAACGGTTAAATTTGATAAAAATAGATAAATAGATACTAACATTTCAAACTCTCTTGGGTAGCGGCCATCCCTTAAAAGGAAGAAAAGGAGGAAGAAGAAGAAGAAAGATGGAATATAAGAAGAGGAAGAAGTGTAATAATGTTAAGGGGAAGACATAGAGGAAGAAGAAATAGGAGAAAAAAAAATAGATGAGGAAGCGAAAGAAGACAAAGAAAAAAGTGAAAGAAGAAAAAAGGAAAAAAAAGAGAGAAAGTAGGAATAATTCGAGGAGAGAACGAAGAAGAAAACAACGAAACAAATGAGGAAGTAGAATAAAAAAAGAAAGAAAAAAAGAAGGAAAGTAAAGAAAAAAAAAAAGAAGCAGGAATGATTAAAGAAAAGGAAGAACGAAGAAGAAACAAAGAGGAAGAAGGAGAATAAGAAAAGAAAGAAAAAAATGCAAGACGTTACCCTGACACACAATACAGCATAGTCAGCAGAGTTTACCGTCAAGCTTGGCCGACCTCTGTGTACTCTGATGAGAGCGGAGAGTTCAAATACTTCTCTTGTTCACCGTGTTCTTGCAGTTCAGTGTTCAATAGGAGCTCCTGATAACAACACTCCATTTCGGTGTCCTGGCGACGTAGGACTTCTGAACATGAAGAGTCCTTAGTTAATCCTTCGTTAAGAGGTTAAGAAAAGGTTTTTTTTGAGGCGGTCGAGAAGATAGACGAAGGAGGATAGAAGAAGAGGGTGAAAAAGATATTTTATTATTGGTTTTGTTGGTTATGCTGTTTCGTGTCTGAGGAAGCGGTGTGAAATTGCAAAACAGGTGTGTTTTTTTATTTTGTTATTTTTTTGTGTTCTGTATTTATTTATCTATTTTTTTCATTTTTTTCTCAAAATGATCGGATACGGGTGTGTGTTTTTCTACATTGGCATATATAGACACCGTATATATATATATATATATATATATATATATATATATATATATATATATATATATATATATATATATATTTCTTTTTTAAGTGATCTGATGTCAGTCCCATGTATGTTTACTTTAGAGATGTAAATGGGAAACGACATCTGGTGCGTTGAAGATATCTGTGTGTGTATGTGTGTGTGTGTGTGTGTGTGTGTGTGTGTGTGTGTGTGTGTGTGTGTGTGTGTGTGTGTGTGTGTGTGTGTGTCTGCTTTATAATCGAATATATATAAAAAAAACATGTCATGTATGAAAATGAACAAATTATCTCTGCACCGTACATTTCTTTTTCATTCAACCAGAATAACAAGTAAAACAAAAACCCAACCATAAACACACACACACACACACACACACACACACACACACACACAAACCCTCCATATTCACCAACCTTTCATTCCGTGTCAATCTCCTCCCTCAGTTAAAAACAACAACAACAAAAAAATCGAAAACAAAAATGGTCGACCCGCAAGCCTGGCTGACGGACCTCTGGGCTGACAGAACGGACAGGGATGGCTACGGCTACGATGACAGGTTAGTGGAGAAGGAATTTGCGTGGTTGTTATTTTTTTTCGTGATTGCTTTGTTTCGGTGTTTTTGATGACGATGTGATGGAATTGTGGTGGTGGAAATGATTATGTTGTTGATATAGCGATGATGATGATACTGCTTATGACGATGATGTTATTACTAATATTTTTTCTTCTAACAATAATGGCAATAATAATGATGGTGATATATATACACACACACATATATATATATATATATATATATATATATATATATATATATATATACATATACATATATGTTTATGCTTATATATACGCATACATACACACACACATATACACATACACATATAAAAATGCATAGACACACACATACACATAAACATAAAAGCACACTCACACACATATCATATAAAAATACATACACACAAACATCCATCCCTCTAAAAAAAAAAAAAAAAAAAAATCCCCAACAACATTAACCACCCACCCCAATCACCCCCCCAACCACACCCTAACCCCCCAATCCCCACCTTCTCCAACAGTGGCTACGGGGGGCGGGGAGGCTACGGGGCGGCGGAGGCTACGGCAAAACGGCTATCGACGCCTTCTCCCTCCTCGCTCTCGCCTCCTTCCTCTGTGTCCTCACGTACCTCGTGTGGTGGTGCATCCAGGACCCGACGCGGTGCACGTGCAAGCGGAGGAGAGATTTCGGCGAGGGCGTGGATGCTGTGATGGAGGTGGTGTTGGCGTTGCTCGAGAGGGGGGTGAAGGTGTGGGAGAGCGTGGGAGAGTGAGGTGTGTGTGTGGGGGGGGTGAGGTGTGGGAGAGTGAGGTGTGTGTGTGGGGGGGGGTGAGAGTGAGGTGTGTGTGTGGGCGGGGGGGGGTGAAGTGTGGGAGAGCGTGGAGAGTGAGGTGTGTGTGTGTGGGGGGGGGGTGAGTGAGGTGTGTGTGTGGGGGGGGGGGTGAAGGTGTGTGAGAGTGAGGTGTGTGTAGGGGGGGGAGTGAGGTGTGTGTTGAGGTGTGTGTATGGGGGGGGTGAAGGTGTGGGAGAGCGTGGGAGAGTGAGGTGTGGGGGGGGAGTGAGGTGTGTGGGGGGGGGGGAGAGTGAGGAGTGTGTGGGGGGAGAGAGGAAAGGGTGGGTTTTGGAAGGTGAGAGAGAGAGAGAGAGAGAGAGAGAGAGAGAGAGAGAGAGAGAGAGAGAGAGAGAGAGAGAGAGAGAGAGAGAGAGAGAGAGAGAGAGAGAGCAGTCAGATAGGTAGATAGATTAGGGGAAAGACACAAAACAATAAGGTTGAAGAAAGTAGATAGACGAATATATAGATAGAGGTAGACAAGAAGAAGAGGGGATATTAATTTCACAAATATGTAATGTATAGATGGATATTCTAAATGTACAATATTTCTTAAATAAAAAGTGAGCTCTTTTTTTATTTTGACAATTCTTTCCCCTTTCATTAAAAAAAGAAACAAATCTGACAAAATAGTAATACTGACAACAATAATGAAGAGGGTTGTGATAATGATATGACTAATATTTTTAGTAATTCTGGATGATTAATAATGACCAAACACAATGACATTAGCAGCAAAATACGTAATACTGAAAATGAGAGCAATATTAATATTCTATGATACTGTTTACGTTAATTATGATATGACAATGGAAATATCCTTGTAATTATATTTATCATGATAGGATTGATAATGGTAATAATAATTATCTTTATATGAATAATGACATTCAATATTGATAATCAAAGATATATCGATGTGCCAATATGTATAACATAAATGTATCCTTCATAAATGAATAAGTAAACACACACACACACACACACACACACACACACACACACACACACACACACACACACACACACACACACACACACTGCATCCGTATAAAACTCCAATCAAGCAAGATATCCCACACCAGCTTCTTCCGGCCCGTGACAAGAACCCAGTGATCAGCATACTATAGCCATTGTGAAGACGTGAGCTGGTTAAATACAGAGCACTTTGATAACCCAACAAGGAACCACCTCTTTCTCACGTACGGGGTTCATGCTAGGAAGTGCCTGGTCTGGGGCTGTTGGGCTGGTGAATGTTTGCCAAATGGAGGAATTGGTGGTATTGGTAATTCTGTGGTAGTTTCTGGTTGGCGTGGGATTAATTAATGGCTTTGTAATGGGGGAATTAATGGTATTAGGAATTTCGTGGTATTTTCTGGATAGTGTTATTGGATTAATTAATGGTTTTGTAATAAGGGAATTAATAGTATTGTTAATTCGTGTAGTTTGGTTGGCGTTACTAGATTAATCAATGGTTTTGTAATAGGGGAATTGGGTATTGGTATTGTGGTAGTTTCTGGTTGGCGTTTTTGGATAATTGGTTGTTGGGGGAATTAATAGTATTGATAATTTCGAGGTAGTTTGTGGATAAATATACTATTTCATAATGGTTTGTTAATGGTTGAAGTGATGGTATTGATGGTCTAGTGGTAGTTCATGTGTTGAATCTACTGTTTCATGGTTTTGTAATGGTTGAATTGGTAGTATTGATCGTTTAAAGGTCATTCGCAGTTAAAGCTGTCAGTCAAAACTTTTTATTATTAATTGATTAATCTATTTTTTAATGGTTGGACTAATGATGTCAATATTTAATACTGTGGTTTGTATCACTGAATTTTCGAATGGTTTATAAGAATTGCATACGTTTACTATCAAACAGATGCAGTTGATTATCGCCATCATTGTTATTAGTTTTAATGGATCAGTATATACTATCATGTTTGTGAATAAAAAAATGTATATCTGATTCTTCATCTTGATAGACGCGTTATTCGACGGAACATTTATCTCTATCAGTTTCATTCCACATGAACACAAAACAAACATACGGGCGCCCATCTTAACTGTCCAGAGTTCCTTGTGTCTTCAAAGTATATCACTGAATTCCCAAAACGGTTTAATCTATTGTATGTCTTCAGGAAGTCAATAAAATTGTCAATATTGCTGTATCAAACGATATTCATAATTTCTCATTAATGCACTTATTTCCCTAAAAGAATAAACAAATACATATTATGATCTTCATTACATTGGTCATTTATACTACCATATTAACCATTATTATCAGTGTCATGATAAGAGTATACTATTTGCTATTGCATCCCTATTATTAAAATAATATCAGCGTCACATTTTTATTAAAGTCACCACTGAATTAGTATGTTATTTGACTTCATCTGATTCTTTGCTGCAAAGGTAAAAATAAACAATGAGATTATTCAACTAAAATTTTATTCATAGATCTTGTACTTGATGCATAAAAATACAGGACATTCAAGAGAAAACATGTCTTTTTAGAAATACAATTCGGGTCATGGCACCTTAATATTAAATGAAATCTTAATTTGACTATATTACACGATGAATAATGAATCGCAGTCATTTCATACTAACACACAATTACCATCTATTATAGAAGAGAAATCTGCACAACAAACGAAACACAACTAGCATCCATTGCAAAAATATCAGAAAAAAATATATACATAACATATGCGATAATCACATAAAAAATAATGCCCAATTCAACAGCAGTTCCCTAATTGACTATTTTCTCAATCTTTCATTTAATTACATCGTTAAGAGATAAATAAGATAGGCTATTAGGGAACCGACAATTAACAGCCCAAGAAGAGAAAATCCATAGAGAGTATCCTTGCCGTAACCGCCCTTGGCCGACCTCCGTTTTCTTTGGTGCGAGAGGGTAGACGATGCTATTTTCGCCTGCGTTTCCTCGTCCATGTTAGAATCTCCTTTTCTTTGAGTAGGTCTTTCTCCTTCCTCTCTTGCGTAGGGGTTGTAATCCTCTTCGAACTCGAAACAGGAACTAAGAGCCTTGAAGAACTTCACGGGGACCGAACGGGGTTTGAGATTGATCAAATTGATGAGAAGTTCCCCACCGTCGATGAAACTATTCGTCGCCTCCATCAGCGTCGCGTCGGACACTCTCTCTCTGAATACCTTGGTCAACCACTTGCCTCCCACGAACGGTATGGTCGAGAACACGCAGTCTAGAATCACTTCGACCTCCTCCTTCGGGGATTCTCGCCTTCCGTCCATACTTTCTTCATCCGTGTCCTTATTCCAATCTTTATCTCCATCGCCCTGTCCATTATTCGTATTTCCTGGGACACCGAGACTCTCACCCCCCGTAATATCTTCATGAACGTCTTCCTTTTGGCAGATAGGATCGCCTGGGGGGCAAGGAGGAGGCTGGGGATTCTCGTCAGGATACGAAGGGGCGTCCGAGAGTCCCGTTGTCGCCGGAAGGATCTTCAGGAGGAGCACAAGCGACCCTGGAATGTGAGAACGTTGATTGGCTAATCCGAGAAAAGGGATTGGTGTTCGTGATCTGCTTACTGGAAATGATGTTATGTACTTGATACGAATGAAGTATGATCTTCATTAACCTAAATTGATAACTTGAAATGATATTATGTACTTGATACGAATGAAGTATGATCTTAATTAACCAAATTTGATATATAGTATCATTAAATTATACATAGTACCCAGCTGTGCTATTTATATTTAATGATTCATTATGTATGGTTATCACAGAGCTGTAAGGAAGTAAAAGAAAACCTTAGGAAAAAATCTACTAACTTACCATAGATCACCAGTCTTCCACGCCATCTGCCAAACACACCTTCCATTTTCAGTTTTCAAAACAATATAACTTATTCAAATGCCTTCTCCGCCTTTAAAACATTTACTTTCCCGGAAGGAAACGCACACAACACGAGGTCTCTACCACTGCAGAGTCGCGTGCGAGAGTCTAGCGCCCTCTGACGTCTGCAGTCTGCCCGAACCCCCGCGTCTGCCACCACTGGGCAGGTCAGCTGATCGAGAGCTCTTCGGGGGGTGTTGCCAAATTTCGAGAGGAACTTTACCGATTTTATTTTGCATATGTTATTATTACAAGATATATTAGAATGCATAAAGAATGGTATGTATACTGAAAAACTATATTCAACTTTCTTTAGGTCATTTAAGTAGTGTTTCTTTCTTGCTTTGTGATTGAGAGGAAGTAAAAGGAAGGAAGTGCTGTATCTGGCATCATCATCCAGCAAAAGGTTCTGGCGTTGGCGTAGTAATAGCACGATCGGAATAGTGTAAACATAGCCACAGGTGCTCCTAAACACACGTTGGGTGAAGGCGTGCAGTCTTCTCGGAAGCTTAAAGATAACACACTGCGTCCATATTACCAATAAAACATTTTTTTTTAGAGTACATGATGATCTTTTAGTATTTGACTCTCTCATACTTGCAGAAAAAAGTATGTATGAGAATTAATATCTTCACAATAAAAGAGATGGATTTGATCTGTGTCGAATATATATCTCCGTTAGAAATACACGTTGACCATTATTATTTCTGAAGAAGATGTATTCGAAACCGGTCAAATCCATCTCTTATATAGTTGAAGATAATTCTCGTTCATACCTTTTCTACATTTGTCAACTTGAATACTTTGTCTCTTATACTTTATCTGTTTTAGGTTTGGAAGCCGCAATGTGCCTATGGACTGTTCAGGTTAACACGTACGGCCCCGGTGTGAATAGCGGGACAGAAAACAAATATTTTCGTGTTACACTGGACATGGTTTAGTAACTGCCTTTAGGGAAATACGGAAGTAATAGTAATTTTCTCATTTTAATAGGAAATCAAAGTATTTATAATAGGTTAATGTATTGGCATTAATAAGAACACTTCAACCTGATACTTCATTCGAGATCATCAGTAAACAACAATAATAAGAGCTTATTCAAATCAACAACTAATGAAATTATAAAATGGAAGGATTAAAGAATCAAAACCAATTTATATCTAACAAAGTAAAATGCCAGTTTAAAAGCCAAGGGGGTAATCAACTAGGCATTACATGTGTACAACCCTGGTCACTCCACACACATAACTAAGCAAACATTGGTTTCCTGGCGACGTCATGTCCAAATACAAGTGACATGACAAACACGTTAACTTCCCGTCTCCATTAGGAATCAGAGGTTGTAGAACGGACATCTTAGCATCTACTATCTACTACAGAGGTGAACGTGACATAATTATGTATCAGAAGTCTACTATGGTTATTCTTTGGGTCGTAACGATACTAATTTGGGTTAAATACTTCTAGAATAGGAATATTAATGATGATTATGGGATGATTATGATACAAGGCAAGGATAGGAATGGTAATTATGATACTAGGGTTATAGTAAGAATGGTAATTATGATACTAGGGATATGGTAAGCATAGTAATTATGATACCAGGGTAGTGATAATGGTAATTATGATACCAGGGTAATGATAATGGTAATTTTGATACCAGGGTAATGAAAAGAATTGTGATTATGATAGTAGGGTAATGATAACGGTAATTATGATATAAGGTAGTGATAATGGTAATTATGATACCAGAGTAATGATAAGAATGGTAATTATGATACCAAGGTAATGATAAGAGTAGTAATTATGATACCAGGGTAATGATAAGAATAGTTAAGAGTTTAAAGATAATGACAATGACGTAGTGATAGATATTTTTACTTAATTATTCCATAAAAGTCTAAGTTCATTAGTAATGGAAATTTACAGGTGTTTTAGATGATGATTACGGAAATGATATGAATGATTATAAAGGTAATGATGATGACAATGATACAAAGAGAGAGAGAGAGAGAGAGAGAGAGAGAGAGAGAGAGAGAGAGAGAGAGAGAGAGAGAGAGAGAGAGAGAGAGAGAGGAGAGAGAGAGAGAAAGAGGGGAGAGAGAGAGAGAGAGAGAGAGAGAGAGAGAGAGAGAGAGAGAGAGAGAGAGAGAGAGAGAGAGAGAGAGAGAGAGAGAGAGAGAGAGAGAGAAGAGAGAGAGAGAGGAGAGAGAAGAGAGAGAGAGAGAGAGAGAGAGAGAGAAGAGAGAGAGAGAGAGAGAGAGAGAGAGAGAGAGAGAGAGAGAGAGAGAGAGAGAGAGAGAGAGAGAGAGAGGAGAGAGAGAGAGAGAGAGAGAGAGAGAGAGAGAGAGAGAGAGAGAGAGAGAGAGAGAAGAGAGAGAGAGAGAGAGAGAGAGAGAGAGAGAGAGAGGAGAGAAGAGAGAGAGAGAGAGAGAGAGAGAGAGAGAGAGAGAGAGAGAGAGAGAGAGAGAGAGAGAGAGAGATGAGAGAGATGAGAGAGTATGTGACTAGATGATGGTGGTGATGATGATGAAAGTGAAGACATAGCTGGAGATGCTAATAATGGTAGTACAGGTGGGAGGGTAGGTAATGATGGTGACAGCGACGAAGAGTGAAAATGATAAAGCAGGTGATCAAGTGATGGCGATGGCATGATATGAGTGACGGTGGAAATTTTGACAAAAAGAGTCATAATCATAATGATAACGGTAATTGGATAATAGGTATGAACACCATCATTAAACAACCATAACCATCACCAAACCCCCTCCCATCCCCCAAAAACCCCTATCCACAACCCCATCCCATCCCCCGACAACCCCTATCCCACAACTCCCCACCCCTACTCTTATTCCCAACCCCGCCATCTCCCAACAACTCCTATCCACAACCCCTCCTCTCCCCCATCCCCATCCACAACCCCTCCCCTCTCCAACAACCCCTATCCACAAACCCTCTCGTATCCCCTAATAACCCCCATCCAAACAACCCCCTCCCATCTCCCAACAACCCCTATCCACAACCCCCTCCCATCTTTCAACAACTCCTATCCCCTAATAACCCCATCCACAACAAACCTCCCATCCCCCCAATAACCCCTATCCACAACCCCCTCCCATCTCCCAACAACCCTATTCACAACCCATCCCAACATACCACGGCCCCCCACCCCTACAACCCCCCCATTCACAACCACGCCCAACATACCACATACCCACCAAGTCCCCCCCCCACCACCACTAACATAACCCCCAACAACATACCCCCAACCACCCCCATCCTTAACAACCTCACAACCCACATTAATTCATCCTAGAAGCTCCATCAGAGTTTCGGGTCAGCGCACAACACCCCCCCCCCCCCCCCCCTCTGCCTCGGGTATCGAAGCCTGTTACCCGCCCGAGAGAGCGAGAGGAGAGAGAGAAAGAGGAAGAGAGAGAGAGAGAGAGAGAGAGAGAGAGAGAGAGAGAGAGAGAGAGAGAGAGAGAGAGAGAGAGAGAGAGAGAGAGAGAGAGAGAGAGAGGAGAGAGAGAGATGAGAGAGAGAGAGAGAGAGCTAGAGAGAGAGAGAGAGAGAGAAGAGGAGAGAGAGAGAGAGATCAGTCGATGGGCCTCGGAGAGAGAGAGAGAGAGAGAGAGAGAGAGATAGGATTGTGTCGATAGGCCTCGGGTTCAAGGAAGTGAGGCTGTTGGTCTCATTTCGCATTCGGGGAATTACTTTTGGAAGTAGAGTAAGTGTGTGTGGGTTGGGGAGTCTTTGTTTCTGTGCGGTGTTTGTTTGTCTGTGTGTTTGTTTCGTGTGTATATATGTGCGTGTGTTTGTTGCCTCTGTATGTGTTGTTTCTATGTTATTTTGTTTATGTAAGTGTGTTTGTTGCCTGTGTGTGTATTGTTTGTGTGCGTGTGTTTATTTGTCTGTGTGTTGTCTGTGTGTTTGTTGTGTGTATTTGTTTGTGTGTGATGCAAGTAAAACAATAAAAACGTAAATATTTATTTGAATGTTATCCTTATTTATGAAAGCATATATTCACAAAATTAAAAGAAGTTTTGCGTAATCTAAATAGTTGATAACTATTAATTTACCTTTATTTTTGACAAACTCCAGCAGATTATTTTGAGTCCTATTATCAGCCCCGAATTCCAAGATAACAAAGATAAAGCAAAACTAGAAAAGAAGAAGAAAAAAGCAATAAAACCAATAAAGAACAAGAATAAAACAAAAGAGAACAGGAAAAACGAGTAAGGAAAATGTATTTATTCGACTCCAACCACCAAACAATGCAACAACACTTGTGGCAGGACAGAGCGACCTACGTAGCTAGTTCTGGTACTCAATTTTCCTCGAGGTGTACAGGCCCGTTACCCGCAGAATGTTGCTTGTCCTTAGGCATCCTGTAGGAGAAACCACGACCTCATCCTTGCGAGCTGATGGGGGAGATAAAGAGGTCAGTCTGATGCTGAATTGTAGGCAGAGGTGAAGGTAGATTGGGGCTTGGGTGGGGGGGGATATGAATTTAATTTCTTTTCTTTACATTTCTTATTCTTTTTTTATTTTACTCTAGATTTGGAGACGTTTTAATTCTTTCTTAAATCTAAATTGACTGAACTACTAAATAGCAAAAAAAAAAAAAAAAAAACGAATAGAGATACAGAATTATAGATAATTATCTTTTAATTAATTGCCCTCTACAGCACATTGTTCGACGGTTAATTATCCCGGAGAGATAACGGAGGAGTGGAAGACCTAATTTTCGTAATAAGAAATTATCCCAAGCGCCAAGAACTTCCCGGAAAAGACGAGGAAGTCACTTTGGCTTTAAGGTTATTGGATTCTTGAATTAACATGTTCATAGTATGTGTTATATGTAGAAATGCACGTAACCCAGCCAAGCTACCCGAGATTAAACACGTACGCTTGTTTGTATATGTCCACACACAAACACACAAACACATTTACATATTTGTGTATATGTGTATAGTATGTAAACACACACATGCATATATCTATCTATCTATCTATCTATCTATCTATCTATCTATCTATCTATCTATATATGCACACACACACACACACACACACACACACACACACACACACACACACACACACACACACACATGTGGATATCAATACAAACATAT